ATGGGTCCAAGGGTGGTTTTGGGGGGTAAAACCAAAAAATTGAAAAACTAGAATTATCAATTTTTCCCAGAAATACGTGTCTTGCGACATTTTCTTCACAAGTAAATGTATTAGAAACTGTGCCTAGGCACCATAGGCACATTTCAATGCATCTTACTCGACTTGCAAATGGGTCCAAGGGTGGTTTTTGGGGGTAAAACCAAAAAAATTAAAAACCATAAATATCAGTTTTTCCCAAAATTACGTTTCTTGCGACATTTTCTTCACAACCAAATGTCTAAGAAACTGTGCCTAGGCAACATAGGCACATTTTAATGCATCTTACTCGACTTGCAAATGGGTCCAGAATTACTTGTCTTGCGACATTTTCTTCACAACCGTATTAGAAACTGTGACTAGGCACCATAGGCACATTTCGATGCTTTTTACTCGACTTGCAAATAGGTCCAAGGGTGGTTTTAGAGGTATATTTCTAGTTTTTCAATTTTCTTGTTTTACCCCCTAAAACCACCCTTGGACCCATTTGCAAGTCGAGTAAGATGCATCGAAATGTGCCTATGGTGCCTAGGCACAGTTTCTAACACATTTGATTGTGAAGAAATTGTCGCAAGACAAGTAATTCTGGGAAAAATTGATACAGTAGTGTCGCGATAATCCGATCCCACGATAATCCGTATGCTTCTGTAATCCGCATCGCATTTTCGTTCCCTTGATGTACTCTGTAATCCGGATTTCACTTGATTCAGTAATCCGAATTCATTTACATGACTCTTAAAAATAAAACCACATGTTTTCACTTGTCGTTTTGTAACTGCGTTCAAGTGGATAGATAGTTTTTACATGTCTACACGCATCATTCAATACACAGCGTCCTTCCTGACTGTGTGGGCTTTTTCAAAAAAAATAGCACAACTTTTTCCAAGCGGTGCAGAAAAATGTAGAAGAAGGTGGACAAAATTCAAATGGTGGAAATAATGCTTTTTCTGCTTAAATACAGCATATTATTTTTTCAAAATAGTTTTAAAAGCGGAATGTAAAATGCCTTAGTAATCCGAATAATTTGATAATCCGGATTGGTCTGGTTTTAATTGATCCGGATTATCGCAACACTACTGTATTTCTAGTTTTTCAACTTTCTTGTTTTACCTCCTAAAACCACCCTTGGACCCATTTGCAAGTCAAGTAAGGTGCTCTGAAATGTGCCTATGGTTCCTAGGTACAGTTTCTTATACATCTGGTCGTGAACAAAATGTCGCAAGACACGTACTTCTGGGAAAAATTGATATTTCCAGTTTTTCAATTTTTTTGTTTTACCCCTAAAACCACCCTTGGACCCATTTGCAAGTCGAGTGAGATGCATTGAATGTACCTTTGGTGCCTAGGCACAGTTTCTAATACATTTGGTTGTGAAAAGAAAATGTACGCAAGACACGTATTTCTGGGAAAAATTGATAATTCTAGTTTTTCAATTTTTTGGTTTTACCCCCCAAAACCACCCTTGGACCCATTCGCAAGTCGAGTGAGATGCATTGAAATGTGCCTATGGTGCCTAGGCACAGTTTCTAATACATTTGATTGTGAAGAAATTGTCGCAAGACAAGTAATTCTGGGAAAAATTGATATTTCTAGTTTTTAAATTTTCTTGTTTTACCTCCTAAAACCACCCTTGGACCCATTTGCAAGTCAAGTAAGGTGCCCTGAAATGTGCCTATGGTTCCTAGGCACAGTTTCTTATACATCTGGTCGTGAACAAAATGTCGCAAGACACGTACTTCTGGGAAAAATTGATATTTCCAGTTTTTCAATTTTTTTGTTTTACCCCCTAAAACCACCCTTGGACCCATTCGCAAGTCGAGTAAGATGCATTGAAATGTGCCTATGGTGCCTAGGCACAGTTTCTAATATATTTGGTTGCGAAGAAAATGTCGAAAGAAACGTAATTCTGGAAAAATTGATATTTCTAGTTTTTCAATATTCTGGTTTCACCCCCTAAAGCCACCCTTGGACCCATTTGCAAGTCGAGTAAGATGTATCGAAATGTGCCTAGACACAGTTTCTAATACATTTGGTTGTGAAGAAAATGTCGCAAGACACGTAATTCTGGGAAAATTTGATATTTCCTTTTTCAATTTTCTTGTTTCACTCCCAAAAACCACCCTGGACCCATTTGCAACTCAAGTGAGGTGACCCATTTGCAACTCAAGTGAGGTGCCCCATAATGAGTTCATCGTGTGTAAAAGCATTTTTGACTTCACCTGGCTGAGAAAAATATGTGGAAAGTTCCGTCCGTAAGTTGGTGAAAAATTAATACTTCAAATACTATTTTAATTCATTGTTTACCTTCAAAAACATGAGTTAGATCCATTTGCAATATTTTCTTATTTACTTTTAATAACTGGATTAATTTTATCGTATTTATAAAAAAAGGAATTTATAATATCTGAAAATAAGACATAAACGACCCCACTGACTGTTCGGGTAGACTCGGGAGTCAGGCTGCTAACTTTTGACTGCCAAGTTTACGCCAGTGTTTTTCATCCCCTTAAAGCATTTCGAAGGAAAACGACCTCCCAAATTTTGCACTGACGCTTCTTCAAAACTTCCTCTATTATTTGATAAATATTTTCCGTTCTTGCTCGGAGTTAGAACTTCTTCTATAAATCCCTCAGATTTTTTTTTGCTATTCTTATTCATAACTTATTAATTCTTTATCCTTCTTTGGATTTTTCCAAACCTATCTATTGAATATAATCAAATTCATGAATAAGCCAAATGTTCAAGGTAAATATGGATTGTTTTGAAATTTGAATATTTAAAAAACAAGAAAGGGGGGTGAAAATTACTGTAAAATACAGGCATAATCACAAATAAAAAGTAAACCAAATTTGGGAATCATAAAATAATGAGTGATTCTCATCTAATTGATGATATCCACCAAGTAATCATCCGATTTCCACCAATATATTATTGATAAAAAATGTCTGCAAATGAATTGTAGCTTCATTAATTTCAGTCTTTTTCTCAGTTTTTGTTGATACTCCAGTTGTGGTTGGGAAATCAAGTTTGTTTATGTCAGTGTCAAAGTTATTCCTAGGCATCACAGCTTTATTCTTCTCAATGAATTCCAATTTATTCAGATGCTATTCCTATATGATTCTGATGAATTCCTATCTATTTCCACTATTTCTAGTTGATTTTCCTCTGATTCGTAAGAGGTTTATGTAGGATAATTTCCATTCTAGCTCTCGTAAACAAAAAATGATGAAAAAGCTATTGAGGAAGAATCTAACAGAAACTAAAGAAAAATGGACAAGTAAAACACACCTAGAAGTTAACAAAAATAGTTTTAAACACAAAAATTTCGTTACATATTTTTGTCATACATTTATTTTATTTTTTTAAATTATACATACCTATATCTATTTTCTCATACTCCACACCCTGTACCCTGTAAACTATGAGGGGCGAACCGCCAATGTATTTCCAGTATACAAGCCTCAACCTTAATTAATCATAGACCAAGACATACATAATATATCAGAATGTTGTTCAAATACTAAAGCAGATGAAAAATCAACCTTTGACACTGATTCTTACTTACTATGCTCGGATAGCGAATTCGATGACTAATATGTAATTTTATTTTTTTTACTTTATATACAGGGTGTCAATTTAAAAACTTACAACGGCTATATCTGGGTAACCAAAAAAGAAAATCTATAAAAACAGTTCCTATAATAAGGAGGGGGAACCAAAATTATGTAAAAAACAACTGGTTTTCACTTACCCCTTCACCCTCAGCCACCCCAACTAAATAATCTTGAATAGCAACTCCCTACTTGTGATACCTTATTTGAAGGCGCTTAAAAATGCTTTTCAATGGTACCCTATAAGCTAGGATTCGATGTAATAATTTTCAAAATAAAACCATTGAAATGTGAATTGAGTTTCTGATTATTATGGCCGTTTGCACTGACAATTTTGAGGAAGCCTTAGCAATAAGTCTTAAAATGACATTTTTACATGGAGAAATGTCACTATGAGGAATATTTATCGCTAAAGAAATTGTTTTCATAGATTTTTTTTGGTTACCTAGATATAGTCATTGTAAGTTTTTAAATTGACACCCTGACCCTGTATATAATATAAATACCAAAATACGCTGTTATGCAATATTTTTTGAGCCTAGCCGTAACACATAAAATCTTATATTTTTCTTGTCAACAATTTACATATAACTATGAAAATGAAAAACTTTTTCTAATATTTTTGTATAGCTATAAAATATTTTTTTTTATGTAGGGGTGGTTTAGGGGTAGTTATCTCCCTTCTGCCACCTCTCCAGGTCACGCCCCAATGATATTCGTAATCTACACATTTTTCCAAAAATTTTGATGTATATCACTATATTGCTTCACAAAGTTGCATACGGACTACTAGTTTAAAACTGAGCTAGATAAAGAAAAATAATATTGAAGGGACTGAATTTACAATGAGCTCTACATCTACATCTGACGTATTCTTATATACTGCGCGTATTCAGTGTACAAATTTGGCTGGCGGTTTGCCCCTCGGTGAACTATAAAGGTGCGTACAGACATGCAACAGAAAGCCGTAACGTAACTTCACCGCGTATCAAGCACGCGACATGTTCTGTTGCGCGACGTTGTTACGTTGCGATGAGGAAAGTGGGTTTAGTTTGGTGCAACAGAACATCGCCGCGCAACATCGGCGCGGAACATTTAGGCGTCCCAGCTTTTTAGCAACGTTTTTAGTTAGTTGGTATCTACGTTCAAGCAAGATGGACATTGCTGCTGCAGCTTACATAGTTATGCACTATTTAGTGCATAAGAGAAAACGCAGACCAAGACGCTGGTGGCAGACTCAATTATACACCAGTAGAACTGTGTACAGTGGTCGTCATTTATTGAGAGACCTAAACTTCCAGTCTGTGAGTGGTCTATACAAAAACTTTACCAGAATGTCGCCAACTGATTTTGAATTTTTGATTAACCTAATCGGTCCAAAAGTATCAAGAAGAGACACTAATTGGAGACAAGCTATTTCGGTTCAGGAAAGATTGGCAGTAACAATGCGTTTTCTGGCGACTGGAGATTCCTTCACGAGTCTGCAATATCTGTTCAAAATTTCGAAACAATCGATAAGCGCTATAGTACCAGAAGTGTGTGAAGCTCTCATAGAAGGGTTGAAGGAGAATATACAGGTATGTTGATTTATTTATTGCTCAAAATTCTTTATTATAAAACATTTTTCTATAAAATTTTGTTCTTGAATATCATTTAATTATCTGGCAAGTTTAAATCAGTTAGTAATGTTGCACTGGTAAATGGGGGTGGATTGCTGGTAGAAGCGGAATAATTTGTCATACCCGAGCATTGTGAACTTGCTGATGCTGGAGATATTAGTGGCAGTGGTACCGGTGAAAACTGAGGCGCTTGGGATGATGCGTCAGTTGCAAAATCCCAATGAGCTGCGGGACGGGGTGAATATGGGGATTGTATCAACTGAGTATCTTGGTAAACCGAATCACGTTGTACAAGTTCGCTTTGGATTGTGGAATAATTGTTTGATTGATAACCTCTTGGAGCGGGATATTGATTATAATACCCCTTGTCTGCCGCAAATAAAATATTCATGATGGCTTCTTGTACTGCCGTTTGTGCTACGTTCGAATATTTACTAAGTTTCTTGGCTACAAGATTTCCAAATATTTGACATTCGCTTGGATCCTGCGGTGGTTCCTTATTCGATGCCTTTGTTAGAATTTCGAAAGCAGCATCCAATTTTTCAACTGCACGTTTTTTGTTCGGGATACTATGAGTCATCTGAGGGGGTTTTCTTTCCTTGTTACTGACTCTAATCCGAGTCTTTGGAGTCTGCTGAGACTCGTTGGGCTCCTGGGTCACGCGAAGCTCATGAGTCTCGTGAGACTGCTGAGTCCCGTGAGGCTTCTGAATCTCATGATGCTCTTCAGTCTCGTCAGGCTCTTGTATGTCGTTAGTCTTCTGGGGCTCCTCAGAGTCCGGATTCATATCTTGCAAAGCGGTATCATCATCTACATCATTACTTTCGTCTGTTTCTTTATCAATCTGCAACCAAATAAAAAGTTCTGTTGATATTTTTTCGATAATATGACAAAATAGTTTTCTGGGTTGGGAAAGAAATGTCTTGTAGATCAGGTCATAAATTCAAGGTTTTTTAGTTAGTAGAATCATTATTCTTTGAAGTTTCTGAAAACGATATTTTTTACAGATACCAACAACATCAGAGGGGTGGTTACAAGTAGCAAAACAATACAACGATATTTGGAACTTTCCGCACTGCCTAGGGGCAATCGATGGAAAACACGTCGTTTTGCAAGCACCTATTAATACAGGAAGCGATTTTTTTAACTACAAATCGACATTCAGCATAGTTCTTTTTGCAGTAGTAGATGCTCATTACAACTTTTTGTATGTTGATGCTGGAGGCCAAGGAAGAATTTCTGATGGTGGCATTTTCAAAAATTGTTCCCTGTTCAAAAAACTAGAAAAAAATGAGTTAAGATTGCCACTAGCTGAAGCTTTGGATGGTAGACAACGCGAAATTCCCTATTTTTTCATTGGAGATGAGGCGTTTGCTCTCACTGATACATTAATGAAACCGTTTTCGGGAATTCACCCCAAAGGATCATTACAAAGGGTTTATAATTATAGATTATCTCGCGCGCGAAGAGTCGTAGAGAATGTATTTGGTATTGCTTCAGCAGTATTTAGAGCACTCCGGAAACCCATGCTGCTAAGTCCTGAAAAGGCTGAGCTCATTGTAATGGCAATAGCTCACTTACATAATTTCTTAAGGAAAAGTTCCTCCTCCTGTCACTTGTATACACCAAACGGAACATTCGATACGGAAGTAGAGGGAAAACTTGTCGATGGAGCGAGAGCTTCAAGTAATGAACCAACTACTTCGCTACTTCCTCTCAGAAATATTCCCAGAAAACCATCCATACAGGCTAAAGCAATTCGAGAAGAATTGGCTGATTTCTTTCAAAATGAAGGGCGGATTTTGTGGCAAGATAAATATACTTAAATAATATTGAAAAAAATAAATAAATAAATAAATAAACACTTACAGAGCTTTGAGTATTGCGTACTTTGTTTTTGTCCCACAGGAATAGCAAGCTCTTGAATGCGAACCAAGAACTTTCATACACATCGGAACGCCCTACAATTGAAATAATAGTATATTAATCAATTCATATTATACTATTACAAAAGTCAATTGGAACAAGGTACCAACTGGTGGCTGACTGATGGTCACTGGAAAGTTCCATAAGAAATGCACTGCCGCCACTGCCACTAGTCAGCCGGCCACCAGTATGATTTATGTTTACCTTGTTCCAATTGACTTTGGAAAAACTATACCAGTAGTAACAACCCAAGGACATTGATAATTGTTCGAAAACATTTTTTTAACAGGTTTCGAAAGCTTGTTGAAGGCAACAAGCTTGAGAAAGTTGTTAAAAAAATTGGCTGTTAGAAGTGTCAAAAAAATTTAATTAATTAATAAATCTTTACCTGTTCCGGTGCCCATGCTTTTTTTAATTTTTGACTTTTCCCGCCTCAGCGCTGACTGCAACGCACTAATTTTCTTCTTGCACTCGTCAATCGTAGCACCTACACTTCTTGCGACATCTTCCCACGCATCATTTTTCTGAATTTTATTAAAATATCTGGGATGTTTGTTATTCCATAAAATTTCCTTCCCTCTATAAATTTCGATAAACTCAAGCACACTGTCTTCCGTCCACTCCATTTCTATCGAAATCAAAATAGCAACTGAATTTGACTGGAAATAGTGGAAATACAAAAGGGCAAAACCAAAACAACGGCACCGGGTTCGCAAGCACGTCCAGACTAAAAAAATCAAGTGCAACATCGCCGCGAACATTTCTTTGATGCGGTGTCGATTTACCGACAACCGATGGGACGCTGCGATGTTACGGTGTTACGCGGTTGCTGTACTGCTACGATGTTGCAGAGTACGGTCCAGATATGTCGCGTACTTGTTACGCGGTGAAGTTACGTTACGGCGTTCTGTTGCATGTCTGTACGCACCTTTATATACAGGGTAGTCCAACAAGCGCGCCTCGGTCAATAGTAGCCAAACCGTTGAACTTATGGAAAAATGTTCTGTAAAAATTTTGGCATTTCATCTCTGCTATAACCCAAAATTATTTTCAAGTATACAGGGTGCTGTATGTTTTTATGTAGCAAATGAATCCTCTATGTGCTCTGTATTCGACTTTAAAATCGTATTACGGTTGAATGCAGGGTTGCCAAGTTATGATTTTTCGAAAAAAAAAAATAGACCAAAACATACTTTTTCAAAATTGTCATATCTCCGCCACTGTGCATTAATGTCCCTTAAAAATTTACATGTAATCTAATGTTAGCCTAGTCGCTCTTACACTATCTTCATTTTTCGATTTAAGTATCCAAGTCTAAAATATTTGTCTAGACACGTCAATTCTAAATTCCATTTTAATTGAGTTTTTCAAATACAACACTCTGTATATTATTTTTCTATCGAAAAGCTGACAATGTCCTCTTCCAGAAAATATCATATTTACCATTACAAAACAGACATGAACCCTATTGTAACTAAATATCTATCTGATATTGATACTTGATTAGAACAATAATAATTGATCCCAAAAGGATGATTTTCCAATTAATATTATCATCGTTTTTGAAAAAATAAGTAAAAATAATTAAGGCTTTCAATGTGTATAGATAGAATCTTGAAGACAGTTATGCAGTTGTCTGTTCTAGCAGATAACGAACCGATTTTTATTCTATATAGTAGAGGTCATCTAATCGTGATCAGCAATTTGAAAGTCATTTCGATATTTAGTCGTTGATATCTCTAAGATAAAAATATTAATATTTTCCAAAAGAGGCAACTGTTAACATGACTTCCTCCCTCAAAGTTGATGATGCCTATCTCAGACAGTGAGACAGTTTGTCTAAGCACGTCTCGAAATTTTGCAGTAGAAAAAAATGATGTGTATTTCTCAAAACGAAAATTACCATGAGGGAAAATGTAATTTTTACCACCAAAAATGCTTCAGGAAGAGCTATCGAAACTGTTATACATTTAAAAATGTTGGTATTTTTTTTTACTAACTTGCATTTTTTCTTTGTTTCAGAAAGTCAATCAGCATTTAGGTAAGTGTTTCCTCAAATATTTGTATGTATATGCAATCCTCTTCCTATAAGGGCGCCTGTGTATTGATGATTACAGTGGTATTGATCCTATTTAAGCGCCATCTATCGTAAACCTTATGCACGCTGAAATTATTTGATTCGTTGCTGACTACCTTAGTTTTGGCAGTGGTAGTTCAAACGTACTCTAACCGATGGCGACGCTAGCGTAATATACAATATTGTTAGTTCTTATCTTAGATTCTTGGTAAAAAATGGGTGGAATGGAATTTTATCAATATTAGATGATATTCCTATGGGGTTATTGATCCTGAGAGATAGAGATAGGTCGGAATATTGAATCAACAGTTTATGTGTACAAAATTGGTGCAAATTATGCTAATAGAATCAGTTTTCTCTGTAGGTACATACTGAACAATATGTTCATGTTAAATAAATAAGTACATACTGTTTGTTTCACGAGGATTTGTACTTTTGCCTTCTTTTTTTAACATATAAAAATTGACAGAAACAAATTAATGACGTCAAAAAAGTTAGTCGGTTTTTAAACCAGAAGTCATTCAATACAATAGAAAATCTGAACGTTATTGAATTTATATGAATCAATCTACGACAAACCTTTTTTTCCAAGTTATGACATTATCTATGTCATAAGTACAAAGGTGAAATGAACCCTTAATATAGTTCTTTTACAAATTATCATTTTCAATATAAATAATGTATCTTTTTTTAAGTGTTGTTAGCAAGGTTGCTAGGCGAACATGAGTGGGTAGCTTCATTCGGTACCCACTTATAATGTACTTACCAGGTACACAATAATATACTCGGTGAAAACAAAAAAGTTGTTTGATTTGATATGTATTTAACAAAAGTTTATTGACAAAATAAACAGATATAACATTAAGGCCCGGTTGATTTATCTTCAGATAAAATGACTAATAATTGTCTACAATATAAATTTAACAATCCTATTGGTTGGCGGATAACACTGGCCTACCAGTAGGATTATAGATTTGGTTTTTATCTCTCAGATTGCATTACCTGACAGTTTGTCAGAAGGTGAATAAACGAATAAACCGGGCCTAACTTTTTCAAAAGTAGGTATCAACAATGAAAAACATAATTTTTTTAAAGATGTAAGGGGGACGTTTTTGATTATCCCTGTGGTGTATTTTTGGGAATACATAATTTCTAGCTGCCATTATATTGACTTAAATAAAGGTCCGTGAAGTTGGCCCCTAAAGTGTTAAATTTTTTTTGGAAAAATATGTTGTTTGTTAGTGCTTCGTTAGTGCTTCTTAGTGCTTCAATTGTTTTCGTTAGTGCTTTTTTCGTTTTCTGTATATCGATTTTTTTATAGTTTCAAGGTCAGCCCTGACAATCTGTCAAAATGAACGAAATTTAATACTATGTTTTAGTGCTTCGATAGTGCTTCTTAGTGCTTCAAATAGTTTCGAAAGTGCTTTTCTTATTTCTTAGATATTTTAGATTTTCACTTCAAGGTCAGCCCCCAAAAATTTTCCGAATTACCCAATTTTGGTGTCAGTTTTTAGTGCTTCGTTAGTGCTTCTCAGTGCTTCAAACAGTTGCATTCGAGAATATTTCCTTTTTGAGATATTTAACTTTAAATTTTCAAGGTGTCCTCAAATTATATGGGATTGAGTTAAATCCAGAGTCGTTTTTTTGCGCATCGTTAGTGCTTTTCAGTGCTTCAGATAGTTTTCTTAATGCTCTTTCCGTATTCTGATTTTATTTTAAAATTACCACCCAAACTTGTTCCAAAAAGTACAAAAAACACAGGGACGCCACCTCGGACGCCACTGGAGCCAACATTGTTTTATAGTATGGAGGAAATCTAAGGTGCCGGCAATAAACCATAG